TATTCAGGTGATTTCTTCTTGGAATGAGGAATAAAAATCATTACTTACTGTTTATGTAAAATAAAGATGAGTAGTTCTTTTCAACCTATAAGCATTGAGTGAACTAACACAATTTGATTATCAAAACATCTGTAAGACAGTAATGATTATAAAGAATTGTCTTTTCTGCTTGATTAATTCAAGAAAGAAAGTCATCAGATGGCCCAGACTAATTCAGATCAATGAAACTAACAGTCTCTGTCCATCTGGTAGATTTGAGGTCATCTGGTTCACTACAGTCATAATGAAATAAGGAATTTTATTTTTTTTTTAGCCCATGTGCTTTAGATGTGTGGGTAGTGCCAAGTTTTGACCCGAGGAACTATTTCAAAGTTTTAGACGCCCATGTTTGTAGTGGTTCCCAACCCTGGTCCCTGAGGAACACCACCCTGCTTGTTTTAGTTCTTCTGCTCCAACACACCGATTTGAATGAAAGGTTGATTAACAGGCTTCTGCTGAACTCAAGGAAGTAATTAAACCACTGAATCAGGTGTGTTGGAGCAGAGAAACTAAAACATGCAGGATGGTGTTCCTCAAGGACCAGGGTTCGGAACCACTGCTTTAGGGACATATTATGGTTTGATGTCGTCCGTCTGTGGACAGCTCCTTTGTCCGATAACCCTTTATTGTAGGAATGTCAAACTATTGATTTCAGGGTCAAAGGTCAAGGGCACAGTCGACCCCTTTGTTAAAACCTCATTTTTGCTCCAGCTTGACATCAGAGTTGCATAGAAATGTCAAACCTGTTGTCCCCTATATTGTCCTCATCTGTCCATCCATAGGACAGTCCACAGGACGTTGTCCGTCAGACTATGGCTCCACATTGGCTTTTATTTTTATTCAGACCACTTCCAAATAAATCTTGAGTGGTCCTCGTGGAGTCTACTTTGGTCAGATAAATCACCCTTATGGACAAATCTTCAGGATTCTTGTTTGAAGGAATTTATTTTTCATGCATTCATTCAAGGATTTTGATACCTGTTTTACCGAGGGGCGTATTTTGTACCATTTGCTACTCTTGTTGAAATCTACCAGCAGATTCCGGCCTCTTTGGACAGCTGCTCTCATCGATTCAGTGATGACGACATAAAATTGATCATTTCAAATGAAATGACTAAAAGTTATTGTTTGCAAAAAGAATATTTTATTTACAAAAACATAAGTCTGTGTCTTGAACTGAGTATCCATACAAACAGTTCCTTCTAAAAATAAAAATGGAAACTTGTTTTTGTCGAGATAAAGTACTCGCTAAGCAGTGGTTCACATATTTTAGAATGGGGTTCTGTGGAAAGGTTGTGAACAGTAAATATCTTACCTGATGTAGCTGGCTATTGGAACGACCTCAGTTTGAAGAAGCGTTTGTTGACGAGCCAATTCAGTAAACTCTGGTTCTTTAAATGTTATAACAAGATCCTAACTGCTCGCAGCGTTTCTACAGAACCTCGCTTCAAAAGATCCAAACCGACGTGAACTGCTGACCCAATAAAACTCTAAAGATGGCAACAAGTTCTAAATGAAATGCTCGGTCCTCCTTCCTTTCAACCTCTACACATCCTTCATCAAAATGTTCTGGAGGAACTGGGCCAGCTGGTTCTCCTCCCTCAGCTTCAAAAAGCGGCCATTTCTCTTTGTTGCTGGGGGGCTCCCCCACCTGAAGTGACTCATCCTGTAGGTCCCATATTTCTTTTCCGGCAGATCCGACGGTCTGCCTCTGGGCCTCAACCAACTCTGACTTTGATGGCCTGCTTTCAGAACGCCCCCCTTCCCTTTGGCCTTGCTCCTTCTCAGGTGCCTGCGAGCCCGAAGTGGGAGGTCGGCTAAGTCAGGGACGAGCCCCCCCTCCAGGGGAGATACGAAGACTTTAACGGGTCTGCGTTTACGGCCAGGAGGCTTCCCCCAGCGGAAGTGCTCCATAGAATAAGAACGGCGCTCGTCCCTGTGGGCAGTCGGGTCAAACTCCGAGGTTCTGTCTTCAGAGGTCAGGGTGGACAGAATGATGCTGAGTAAGAGATTGTCATCATCATTGTATCTTTGCTGAGCAGATTCACTGAGACCAGCGCTTTCAGACCAGGTCACAGACGTGCAGAGATGAAGACAGTCCTAAAAGAGACATCAAGAAGATTCACGATGATTGTACAGCTCTGCTGGTGTTTCAATCTGAGGAATTACAGGATTAAAGCATAAAGATACCAGTCGATTTCAAGTTCCGCATGAAAAACCAAATGTTTTCGGAATCAGAATAAGATTTATTATCATTGTACCAAAACACAGTGAGATGATGTTCGTACAGTCGTCTGAAAGATGGGCGGAGTGCACGTAGCTGCTGTTACTGGAGCGTGGCCTCTTGTCCTTTTTCACAATACTTTTTAGAGATAGAAGAGAGGAGGCCATGAGGACAGGAATAGTGATATTACAAAAAAGATCTCTTGACATCTTGTCTTATATCAGGACACAATTTAAGACATCAAAAACCTCTACCAGCAAGCACATTTATAAACACAATTACATATACATTTGATGACAAGATGGTGAGATTTATCCATGAAGTACTTCTAGAATAGACCATAGTCCTGATAAGATGTTTGTGTCAGCCGGCCCAGTTCTGTTAAGCCTTCATAGAAGTTCTCAGGGGTTTGCGATATACAAAGCTTTTCCTTAGTTTACACACATTCCAGGAAAAATGTGATAAGTCGGCCTGCTTTCGAGGCCAAACGGGGAGTCAGAGAGTCAATTTGAGAGATTTGCCATCCGCATCTCGTGGTACACGTGGTGGAATGAGATTATTTACACAGGGTCCCAGTTACACAGAGTCACATTCAGATAAGCCACAATTGTTGATTTTTTTTTCAGGCAGACTGGTTTTTTTTTTCTTGTCAGCCTTGAGTCCTGCTGGTACTTTAGATCCAAAATAGCCAGATTTGTAGGCATTCCACTGGTCTGCGCTTATGAGCCTCCTCCAAGGTCGTCTTCAACATGCTGGCGAGTCCCATAAGCCGCAGGTGGCCTGTGATTCTCACAAATCGCTTCCATCTTATGGTTTAGCTCATAAATTGGCTGATTTTGAGTCCTCGAAGCACGAACCAAACCTTCACACAGACTCTGCAGTTTTGCCATGGCCGAAACTGCTGCCGTTGTCTTCCTCAATAGCCAATAACACAGGAATCAGCCGATGCCAAAAAGCAGAAACCCTGCTATCGTGATTCCAATTATATAAACTTCTTCGGTGTCCTCTTGAGACAAAACAGAAAGACACATCAGCTCCCAAACTCCCAACAGATCCATGACGTTTCCTGCCGCGTGCGTCTCAGCTGGGCATGAGGGCTCTCCAGGACCCTGTCGCTTTGTTGAAACGATTTTGTCGATTGCGTTGAAAGTCCAGCTGACCAGATCCACGGCAGTAGTTTCCATTTCAGAAGATGTGTAATAGGAGCTCTGATACACAGACGGAGAGCAAAAAAGAGCAGGAGGAAAACAGGAGAGGGAGAGAAAAGGCATCCACCTTGCACAAGAGTGAAGGTAGAATTTTTTTTTATATATATATATTAATTTTATTCATTCATTGTTGACATCTTAAAATGAAAAATAATTTGGAAAATGTTTAACTCCCTCTGCTGCCCTTGGATCAAAAATGACCCACAAGGCCTCAGGAAACGAGGGTGCTATGGGTCATTTTTGACCCCAGGGCAGCAGGGGGGTTAGATGGTTCCAGTCAGAATAACAGACCCTCGGTATCCATGCGGACTTAATAAAGGTTAGTTCTTCTCCCTGCAACATTTCTCTAGTTGCTGATAAAATAAAACTTGTGGTGAACGCCTCATTCTAAAACAAATACTTTTACTGTCAGTAAAATTTACCAATCTTTGTAGTGTTGCCATGTTACCCTAAAACACAAACTTTAACGTAAAAAGGGAACAAGTTGTTTGGAGAGACTACGTGTTATTTTATTGGAGGTATTTTAAAACAAGTGTAAAATATTGAGACAAACATGGTGCTGGTTCATATTAATTCCAAAACTGAAAATGTGAGCTGTCCATTAGACTCAAATGACACCAAAATACAGTTTGAATACTAAATTTAATTAAACATACTTTCCCACAATGAACGTTTAAATATCGCATTACGTCTCGTTTCCCATTAAACCTCTAGTTCATCTTTTGAAGAGACGTTACATCATATTTGTTTTTATGAAGGTTTTGTTCATGTTTAGTTACAAGATGAACCTTAACAGAGTCACTGAAACTGAAATGGACCCAGATCAAGATCCTAGATCCAGATCCGGAACAGGATCAGACCTCGAGTCAAGGAGTTTGTGTCTGCTGGTAATATTAAAAAATAAATAAAATAAATAAATAAAAAAAACAATAACCCGTCAAAGGACAGAGCTGAACTCACCAGTATTTTGTCCATGTCTCTGAAGTCGCAGCACAATGACCCAAACCCGGGCCTGCACATGAATACCATGATGAGCAACCAGCGTGGACACACCATCTCCAGCAGATGAAACTAATTTAATTATGTTCTGAGCTGAAAAGGAAAAGCAAAGTCTCTTTAGAAACCTGGAAAGCATTCAGTCCCAGCAGAGTAAAAAAATCACCTTCTCATAGAAATAAAAAAGTAGTCTCTTGATCATTTCACTTGTGTAACACTTCCCTCTCTTGCATAACTACATTTGTTTCAGTATCTTTGAGATGATGATGATGGATGAGGTGAAGCTGAGTGTCGTGGCTGAAAGAAGATGGTAAAAGCACAAACAGCCTGAGTAAAATAATAGTTTACATTTCTAATATGGATGAACATAAAGGTTCAATATAAACAGAAACCATCATGTTTTTCCTTTTTATAAATTATATTTTGTTTTTAACTACTGTTTATTACAGTTGGCATGAATCATGCTGTCGTGCTTGGGGTGCTAGCTTTGATGTGCTAATGATGCACCAAAACCAAACAGTACTTTTTGTCCATTTACACCCCCCCCCCCCCCCAAGACAAAATGAATGTCCTTATGTTACTAAAGAGAAAAACAACTACCATATTTTTCTGACTATAAGGCGCATTAAACGAAACAAAACAGTCAGATAAGTCAAACTTTACTCGACTCATTCACAGTAAGCACAACCAGAATTAATATATAAGGTGCACTGGATTATAAGGCTCACTGTCAATTTTTGAGAAAATTAAAGAATTTTAAGTGCACCTTAAAGTCTGAAAAATACGGTAAATATTTTAGTGGACTTATAGCCAAAAAAAAACAACCTTTTGACCAATCCATCCAAAGTTTTGACTAATCATCATGCTAACTAGACTAACTAGACAAACATTAAAATGACTTTAACTCATTAAGTTTTACAGATATTGAGCTAAAGTGTGATTGTGGCTGAGAGGCATCCCCAACACATATTATGAATTAATGAGCGTTAAGATCTTGGATTAAAACTTTGGAACAACATGGCTTCATAGAAGGCTAGGCTAAATTTAGTTCGGCTTTTACTGAGTCAAACTAACCATGAAGTTGTTGGGGAAAAAAAAAGGCATTTAAGGTGAAACACAGCTCAACAAGACAAGAAACGTTAAATTTAAATTCCACTGCTAAATGGATTTCTTTACTTTAGATGTCAGGTCTTTACGTTTTTAATTATGTTGTTTTAGTCCAATACTTTTTATCATAATGACCAGAAACGTATAGATTTGTAAATTCAGTTTCTCAAAGCATTTTCACCAACTGTCAAATGAACTCAATATAAACAAAGGTTTACACAACTTTAAGTTTTAGATCATTCCAAACACAACCTAAAGGAGTTTAATAATTGTTTTTTTTTTACATCCAAATCAAATGATCACAAAGCTTTGGACACACGATTTTTAATACATACAATAGAAACATTTATTTTTCTTATTGAATTTTAAAAAAGTAAGGCAGCCCTTACACATGTATTTTAAAAACCTTAGAATTTACATTGTTCCTTTACAAGCAATGACCCAGATGTTGATGTTATAGAAAAAAATCTAATAAAAGGCACAAGGCCACACAGCCTGGTGGTGACATCAGAATCATCAACTCTTTACATTTTCTTTACTTTGTCAGTAGAATTCATTATAATAAAGAGTTCTTACATTAAGACGTATGACACCTTGTAGGAAAAGTGGCAGGTTATTTTTTCTGCTGACTTCAGTGTCGTCGGAGCGAGGAAAAGGACTTCACGTTTAAATCTCACCTTTAAAGGCACAAAATGTTCATTTTTTTAATCATATGAATACACTGAGGAATCCCATTGTTTGTGCAGATATGAACACTTTAAGAAGCGAGCAGCTTTTTTCCTTCTCGTTGTGGGTGGCTGAAACATTTACCAAGGGAGTGAGGTAATATTCATGTCTTTGAGGAGAAACGATGTCCTGGTGTTTCTCCCTCGGTGGTGGGCTATCATCTTTTCCTGCTGTGTGACTCATTTAAAGCTCAGTTCTGCACAGACGTCCTCGCTTGTGATTAAAGAAGGAAAAGAGCTGCAACAAAAGCAGCGTGCGTTTGGTTCTTATTTCAAGAGTTTGCAAGAGTTGCCACTTGCAGACGAAGGGAAATAAATCCAACTCGAGACTTTAAAAAAAGTGACCCCAAACTATGAAATGTGAGGCATTATGCAAACATCAGAGCCTCCTTGATCAGGAATAAAACAACACAAGCACAATTCTTCATGCATGACAAATTACGTAAGGATTATAAATGTTTTACCTCATTCAAATATGTCTCCTTCTTGTGTTTCTTGCTGCTTTGGTCCACAGATGTTGCAGACGTCCACCTCCCGGCTGGTCCTCTCCTTGCTCTCTGTCAGCAGGAGATGGGTTTGTTGTTGCTCCCTCAGAAGAAGAAAGCTCTTTTTATCGACGCACAAAGTAAAACAGCGTCAAATCTCAAGGCCTTTGGGTGTGATGGAGGTGAGGCTTCAGCTACTCTTCTCTAAATAAGGAGGAGTGTGTGGCTTTTTGTATATGACCACCCACTCAGCTTCCAATCAATACTGCAGGCCACAGAAAATAAGCAAACTGATCTTTTTCTGATTTAATACACTTCTAGAAACCTTTAAATCCAATACGTGGGTGATTCTTGGTTAGTTTTGTATTAAAATGGTGATTTTAAAAAAAAAAAGAAAATACAAATTATGGGATATGTTTCGGACAGAGCTGCTGATTTTAAGTGGATATTCGTCATGTTTGTGTCCTTAAACCTCAACAACGAGGCCGAGAACGTGTTTTCTACAAGGACGTGTGTGAAGTCGATTTGAAACGGTCGCTTTCTTGTTGTCGAAGACGTGCATGCCTCCCTGTGTGGAAACTTCATTATGAGAACCTGACTCACTGGGCTGACGTCATGACTGCACCTCAGATGAAGAGGGTATATACACACACACACACACACACACACACACACACAC